AAATACTCGTGAATTTCAAGTAATAAATAAAGAAATCAACTTTTAAAACAAAAATACTTTTCTCTTCCTTCTACATGTCCATCATCTAGGATTTGATCGTGAACCACTACACTAACTTGCGATTGAGTTCATCACTTAAAATAAATAAATTCTTTAAATTTCCTAAGTCCTTAAACCCTTAAGTTCGTAAAGTCAAGTGAAGTAATTCCAAGGAATTCTGAATACCTGTAGGATGTAAAATTCCCTAATGTTGTAAAGTCCGATGATAAGGAAGTTACTTACTATAGCAAAGGAACTTAGACAAATTAAGTGAAGTAATCAGAGAAGATTATTTCCAGTGATAACATAAACTGTCAGAGACAGCTTTTATTATTGCATCTGATAGTTTGGATATAACTTTTATTTTTATTTTTCTTAATAAAGTCACCCGACAGTTCAAAGGTGAATTTATTTTTATTTTTTCTAATAAAAGTCACCTCTGATACTTTAAATGCAACATTTTCTAATAAAGTCACACCTAAACTGTTGAAAATAGTTTTTATTATCACAGTCGAACTGTTAAGGTTATATTTATTAAAAAAATACTAATAAAGTCACATCTGAACTGTCAGAATAATTTTTATTAGTATTTAATAACCTGAAATTTCAGATTAATTTGAAATTTTCAGATCAAATCAGATTATTCAAAAGTTTCAGATCAGATCAGTTCAGATTAATATTTTTTGGATTTATAATCTGAACTGAACTGAACTGAAAATCCATGATCAGATCAGATTGGTCTCTAATCTAAACCAAACTAGGATTGTTAGAGCTTTAGTCAGTATATATAAATAACATTTTATAATTATTTATATATTCTTAGAACTGGAGAAGTATACAATCGGTAGTGTTATTAACTAAAAGAATATAAAATCTATCATGATTCTAAGCAAATTCTTTATAAAGAATGTGATGAGATGATTAAATCTAGATATGAATTTTGCAATACATATACAAAAAATATAGATTAAAGGAACAATACTAATGGAAAATTTAGCTAAATTAGCTTTATTATAGATAAAATATAAGTAAATAAAAGTGATGCAAAATAGAATAACTTATCACTAGAGATAACAAAAATCTGTACTAATTTTTTGGATAAGTTAAAACAGAAACTAGGATAGAAAAATATAGTTAAATGATGATTTAAAGGTGAATGAAAGAAAAAAATAAGTAGCTATTCTAGTTATCTTAGTTGTTTTAGTAAAAAATGCAAGATTTTGTACTTTTTTTACTTTTTACTTATACTTTTCGAATGGTTTATACCATAAATATTCTATAAAAAAAGTTTTGAAAATTTTATTTTTTATTACTTTTTACTAGAATAATTAGAATAACTAAAACATAATAAATAGGAACAAGTTTAAATAGAGAAAGAAGCTTTTTATCATATCAAATACTGTCTTAATTTCTGTTTTAGTTTATTAAGATATCTTAGTTTATTAAGACAGATTTTCTGGCATGTTTGTAACATCTTTGGCAAAAAAAATAATATAAAAGTTCTGCTAGAGCATTTTTTAAGAGTCAATAATAAGAGAGATTTTATATGTGAAATAGTTGAAGAAATATATTTATTGACTGATAGCGTTTTCTAGAATGCTTAAAAATGATATATTCTTTATCTTAACTTAGATTATACTATGATCGGGTCTCAAAAGTGATGAGAAAAAGTGCTAAAATTTAAAGTATAGTAGTATTTAGATAATTTCGATCAGATTTTAGATGTAATAATTCAGCGTTCAAATTGGTATAAAAGTGATCTAAAATTAATGAATTTATAGAACCACTTTAGCTTTCTGCTAGTTTTCTAAATGTTTTATTACACTTCTATAATAATTCCTTAATAGTTTTATAATAGCTCTATAATACTAACACAGCACTATCAGGTCACTACTATGATGTCGAGTTGGATTCACAAATCATGTATTTTAAAATCAGCTAAAATTATAACATAGTATTAGCTGAAATAATTACAAATCTATTGCATCACCTAATATTATTTTTTTGTCACAATTTGAAATTTAAATAAGCAATCAAACAGATGTAAAGGGTAAGCTCTTAAATATAGAATTGAAAACCTATTCAGATGTAGAAGTCAGCATTTTTGGAATAAAACTAAATATCAAACTATCACAGAAGATCAACAACTCTCGATATCTTAACAGGCTATCAAATAAATTCAGAAACAGGCAAACAAATGAATAACTTTTTAGGTATAAAAAATCACAGAGCAGTATAAATACATAGATAGTTTATTAATAATAAAATGGTCATAAGTAAGCAGGAAAGCAAACTCTATTAGATTATAATATCACTATCAGATTATAACATCAGGTTATGACTACATCACCAGATTATAGCATTAGATTATGTTATCACTATTAGACCATGTATATCTGAAAAGTGTATCATGTTAGTTTATATAGATAATATTTGCACTATTTTTTTACACCTATTACACCAGGTAGTAAACGTAATTTTTATTTATTTTTGGACTTAGTTTATTTCACATGGTATGAAGCCTATTTGTCACATTTTATTTGTTACTAGAGTGGTCAGCTAACCATAAAATCATGGTCAGACTGACCATTTAAATTGCACTCATTTCAGACGTGCTTAGACCATATCACCACCATTAGATTATATCATCACCTAATGCAAGTTGCTGAAGGTTTTTTATATAATTATATTAAAGAACCTCTGGCAACTTCCTTCATAAAAAAAATGTGGTTAAAATTTTTTGGAATGAAATAATGTTTAAAAGAAAATGTTCTTATTCAATAGATTCTTTAAACTAAAGATAAGATAAATGATGATTTATTTGAGAGAATAATAATTAACTATAAAAATTTTTTAAATATCCAACCAAAAATCTTTTATGTTCAAGATATACAAATTTAAAGATGTCATTTCTATTATCTAGTATTTTTATATTATGTAATTAAAAATATTTTGAGTTGATTATTTTTGTTATAGTTTAAAATCTATTTTAATTGCCAGACAAGATGACAAAAAAGAAGAGTGTTCAATTAAAAACGTAGGTGGAAAAGGTAACAAGGAAGGTTAAGATCCATTGGTTTGGGTTATTGATTAAGGAATAAAAAGGTTTTAGTCCAGAGCGAAGCGTAGGACTTGGTGTCCTGATTTCTGCTTTCAATGACACGTGATTTGTTACTTAACAACCGTCCCTGTTTCCTAATTATAAAAATGTCTAGTAGACAAGATCGATGAACTCTTGCCACCTAAGAAGACAATAATAAATAAAGGGATGGTTGAAAATGGGAAGGATAATAGAAGAATTAGACAAATGGAGGGATTTGAAGAAGATGAACTTAAAGAAGAGGAGAACGGAGTGGAAAAAGGAGTACGATTAGAGAGCAGAAGGGACAAGAGTAGGAACAAAGGAATAAGGAAAGGAAGGGAGAAGGAGAAAATACAAAAGTGAAAAAGAAGCGGCTGTAGAAGGGGAAAGAGAAGAAGGTTCAGTTGTTGAAGGGTAGCACTGAAGGGTATTACTGAAGGGAGATGGAAGAAAGGTAAATTGAAGCAAAACGGCACCTTAAATATTTGTTATTTTTTACTTTACTTTTTTTTAAAAATAAAGATATAAAAAACTACCCACAAAATATAAAAGTGGGAATAAAGGTGAAATGAAGTTGCAAGATCCTCTTTAATTTCTCAGAAAACCAAAATTGGCCAAAAAATATCATTCTTCAATAAATTGAATGGTTGTTATTTTAATCTTAATGGTCGTTCAATCTTTTTGAACATTTTATTATCTGTTTTTTTTTATTCTACAGCTTGCTCTTGAACAATAATATTCAAAATCTGGTTTGTGGATTATGACATTAACAAAATTACGTAAACTGTAATTTTTTGTATTCTAAGGCAGTGATGAGTTTTGGTCACATTTTTTAATTTAAATATTTTGGTCACGTGAAATTATGTCCAAAACCTGATTATATCTAAAATATTTTACATACTTTGTAATGAGACTAATTTTTTTAACCAATTTAAAAGTTGTTTCTAAATACTTTCCCATCTAAGCCATAATCCTGAATATAAAAATTTGATTCGATATTATAATTATCAAATATTTTGAGGCGATTAGAAAATGAATTGATTACCCGCTTCGTCTAGTTCCCATCTTTCCATTTATGAGCACTAATTTTTGATGAGAGAGAATGCTTTGCTAACTTCCGCAAATTCTTTTCTAGATGCGTCAGTGTAGAAGGCTTTAGATGTTAAATTTTATTGGAATGTCGAGACCTTTCACAAAAAAAAGTTTTTTTTGGTAAGATTATTATTTGGTTTCGCGTTCGTTTGAGAATCTATCGAAAGATTTGATGAGATTAATAATTTTGTTCCTTAACAATATTTGATAAAGTGGTTAATTATTACCTTTGCAAAGAATTAAACATAAAATCAATCAAAGAACGTCATAAAAAAATATTACATGCTTGAAAAGTTACCCATTAATAATTTGGTAGTAGTAAATCTTGAAAAACCTTCACTATTTCAAAAAAATTAACTTTGTAAATAAAAAAAGAGAAAATAATTGAAATATTTCCAATGCATCTGTCACGTAATGACGTCATCTGTGGTCATTATTGTGTCACAAAATAAATAAAAAAATGCAACATACAGGCACACACCACTTGTCGTATATCTATCATCACACATCACAACGCAGGGCAGGTAAAAAAATTTTTTAAGAAAAAATTACGAAAAATAAAATTTCAAAGAAACCAAATTTCTTTTAGGTACAAAGATAGGATCGGGTCCCCCACTGGTTTTCATGGAAACATGCAGGAAAAAAATTTTTTTTTTTTTTACGCCCTAAACGAATTTCTTTTTTTTATGCATAAATAAGCTTATATTTTCTTTGTTTGTAACACACATTCGCAAGAATGATCTGTCTTGATTAAAAATGTAATTCTGGCTAGGGGTAACCATCAGTTTGTTGTAAATTTTCAATGAATCTTTAAAATACAAACAAACTTTCGATTTTAAAAAATCAACAAAAAATATTGCACTAAAATATTCACAGATTTACATAATGTTAACAACCCAAAACATGGTCAATGGCTCTTTAAAAAAAATTACTAAGTAAAAATTTTTATTATAAAAAATTATCATCCAGGCTTTATTTAAAAGCACGATAAAAAAAAAAAATTAAATTACATAAAAATTACAACCCCAAGAATAAATATCTTAAAAGAAATTTTTTTTGTTTATCTACATGTGAAATTTATCCTTCTTAATTTTAAATCTTAAAACAATATTTTACATGTGTTCTTTTACGATTCATAATAACGGGTAAAAGGTCTAAGGTGATTATTAATAATGAGCTCATAAAGTTAAATAATTTCTATTTCGCTAATTTTTTTATTAAAAAAAAAAATTTGAAAAATTTTAGTTAATCGGCATCAAGATCATTTATTTCATTTACCAAAGTATAAAGAAAAGAAAGGTCAAAGCTTACGATATTGAATATTGATTGTTCCAAATCATTATCGATTGGATGATACCTTTATATAAAAAAAAATTTAAATTTAAAAGGATTTTAAACCTATCGAAAACAGATCGAATGAATGATTACCATGGATCCAACTCTTCATCGTCAAGTTCGTCTGCTATTTCATCTTCGCAATCTATTTTGAAAAAAAAGGAATTTATGAGTATAAAATAAAATAAAATAAAATAAATATTTTTTTTCATTTTTTTTTTTACGACACAACTACATACTTTCTATGTCACACGCCCCGACAGGATATGAATTTACTGTTATTGCATGTAAAGAAAGTATAACAAAAGCGAATAAAATATAAGCGAATAATAATTTTGTATTTATTTTGTTCATTTTTTTTTACTTTGTATAAACGAAATAATATGGGTTATTTTTTTTTTGTTCAAGAGAAATATTAAGAATAGGGATTAAATTTCAATCAAAGGAGAATTATCCTTTTTAAAAAAAAAATATGCACATATATATATCTTTTTTTAATTATGAAAAAGAATGGAAACTATAAACAATGATTAGGTTCCGAAATTAACCCTGATCATCAGAGAACATTCTATTTCGAACAACGTATTATTTATTTTTGTCATATTTTTTTTTTCTCCCAAAAAATTAAATCCTTTTTATTAATTAAAATCCGGTTATGATACATAAAAAATGACCAAATTAACTTATGTAAAGAAGCCTTCTTACTAAATCTGCATCCAATAAAAATTGCATGATATCCTAAATTGAAATGAAAGCGTCAAAAAAAAGGCGACTTTATCTGGCCAATGACATTTCATAATGCAAATATCATAGCCTTTCCAAATTTAGGATCGACATGCGATAATTATTGAAAGCCTCGTAACCTAGTTTAAAGATCGATTCGTCATTGCACATTGAACTTTTATAAAAAAGAAGACTTGGCATGTAGCCAAGTAAAGTAACATTCGTGTAACCTCGTAAAATACAAAGGCAACCATCTCTAATGAATATCATATCAATTGAAACAGAATGAAAGGAATGGTGAAAAAATCAATTGTATTAAAACAAATCAGGAATAAAGCTGTTGAAAACATTTTCTTTTTGTTAAAATTTCTGAATCAAACGAAAATAACGAAAAAAAAAAAAAAAGTAAAATTATCATCCAATAAGTTTGCCAAAATTAGGATGTTTAATTAACCTAAAAAATGAAACGCCCACTGCTACCTGTTTTGTTTTAAATTATAAATTTGTAATTAGTGCAAGTTGCTGTTTATGGTAGGATGCAAACATGTAAAAAGGGGACGATTATATAACTGCGTTACACAATTACCATATTTGTTTCTTACTGCGGAAGTTTCTAATTTTCATTTTCACAATAAACTTGTATAGATTTTCCTTTTTTGTCTATAAATAATCTGTTTAATTTAATAATGCAACGTTCTTGAGCTGCCAACAAAGTGTTTCATTTACAGCACGTTGATTGAGGATTATCATCTATTCGTTTGTATTGTCTATTTCACATTTACCCATTGTTTTGTAAGATTTCGTTGTTTTTATTATTTTTTTTTTTGTTTATTTCTTTGGTATTAAGTTTTGGCCAAGCCATTGTAACACCGCACCGGTGCGGTACCCAGCGCACCCCGCAAACATTGTAGAATGCACCCAACATTAATTGGTATCATGTTGATCCTTATCAACCCCTTGTTCTCAAAACTTCATGGTGTTTCTTTAAATCACAAAGTTATAAGATCTGATTTTCTATTTATTCTATACTTGGGAGGTTTTATTTCCTTCTGGTCCGATTGGGAAAGGCTATACGATGATAGCTAATCTTTTTTTTAAACAAAAAATACATCACGTTTCGTAAAAGTTTCAATTCTCATAATCCGACAAAGTTCATTTTAATTTTGACTCTAATTCGTGGAACAATTATAATCAAATTAGGAAATTTACAATCAATATGGTAGCACATCACATAATGAAAAAACTTATTATTTAAATCATTTCTAAAAATATATTTTTGATGTTTAATTGTATTAACCATTAGTAATTTATTATATTTCCGGACACATTTTAAAAATTGTTCAGTTTGGGAACAATATACCGTAAATCATATTATCAGCATGTGATTTTCCTAAATCTTTAATTGTTTAATGAAAAACTGAAACAAAGGGATTACTTTCTAAGTAAATCATTATCGTTATGGTTAAACTATTGAAAACAAAGATAGTTCAAAAATCTCTCATAATAAAAAATTTTAGATAAATCAATAAAAACTTTCTATTAAATTTTTAAACAAAAAAAATTAAGTTTTATAGTAAAATAAAAATCAAAATTGAAAGAATTTACTTATTTAACGAAATTTGTACAAATATAAATAATTAGCAATTAAAATACTTGTTTTACTTTAATTTTATTTAATTTATATTTGATTTTTCTATTATTTCTATTATTTAAACCTAATAAATATCAAATTCAGTATTGGAAAATGATCTTGAATAACCTCACATAATCTTAAATAACACCAATTTATTATTAATTTAAAGTTATAAAATAAGTTCAAATTAAATATTAACTCAATAATTTATTTTAAACATTTATTTGCTTTTTATTATAATATTAAAAAAATTTTTTAATTATAAATATTTAAATTTCAAATTATTTAGAAAATTTTATATTGATTATAAATAAATTAACTAAATTATTAATAAATTTTAAATTTTTACTCCATATGCTAAATATGATTTTTTTAGTAAAATAAGTTCAGATTTAACTTTAACTTATAAAAACATTTTTTTAGATTTCCCCCTTTATATTGATAAGCTTCTATATATTTTTTTTTTTAAAAAAAGTTCAAATTTATTAACTAAAAAAATTATTTTAAATTTTTCATTCTTTATTCTACAAAATGTTTATAAAATTAAAATATATTATTATTTGTATTTTCTAATATAAAAAAATATAATAGATTAAATATTTTAAAAATATTATTTTTTTATTTTATTATATATTATATTTTAAGATTATTATCATTAATTATTATTACTATTATATATATTATATATATAATATTATCTTATTAAAATTTTCAAAATAATATAATAATATTAAATCTAATTAAGGTTATTATACTATTAAGATTTACAAATTTAAATATTATTAATTTTTTTTAACTTTTTTAACATTTTTAACTCCTTTAATTTTTTTATAAATTTATTATTATTTATATATTTGCTATAGTTTTATTATATTTTATACTTATTATTTATTTGATTATTATTCCTAGAGTTAAGGGATTTGCAAACAAGCATGATTGCTTATTTATTATAAATTCTTTTTTGGTTTACTATTATAAATAATAATTTTTATTAATGATAAATAAATAAATAATTTAATTAATATGAAAATATACAAGTTTTTAAAAAAATTATTATAATAAATTTTTAAACTTAATTTTAAATAAAAATATTTTAAAAATATTTTAAAAAAATTAAAATTTTACTAATAAGTTGAAAAAAATATATATTATTAATATAATAAAAATTCTTATCCCTTTAATGGTAAAAAATTTTAATTAATTTTTAACATAAATTTTTATTATTAAACCTATCGATTTTTTTTGATTTTTACTTAAAATTCATTA